TTCATCACCATTAAGAAATTATGTTTGTTTATAAATAATGAGAGTTTCTAAAAGAGGAGTGTTTCGTATGAACAATGTTTATTGATGTCTAAGTGAATAACATTCAAACTTTGCATATATTGGCATATGCATAAATCTGCCACAAAATTAGGTGTTGGTTAGGAAGAGCTGTTGGTGAGGTGGTGTGATTGAAATGATTCCAGTACTAGGTTCTGGTTTAGGAATCTGGCACCATCTCTTTTCCTGTATGACTTTTATTTATGAATTTAATTGTATGCAATCTGGAAAATCTGGAAAAACACTTAAAAAATGCAGTTTTGAGAGAATAAGAAATGTAATTTGTCCATAAACACAGAGATTGCTTGGAAGCATAGAGGGAGGAAGTTTGAAGTGTTAGCATCTTTGAAAGGAATTACAGCTGCGTAAGGAAACAGTGATTCTCCAATTCCACTATTTATTCTGTGCAAAAAAAGTTAAAAATGATATAAAATGTATAATCTTAATTTCATTCTGGAATGTAGACATTAGTAAAACCTGACTTGTCAACAGTTTATACTGTCTTATACAATACAGATGCAAGATTACAAAGAAACTTTTTGATAGAGGTATTTCTCAATAACCCCAAGCTCAGACTGAAATCTTGCTAAGATTTGGTGCCCTTCCATAGTTTGTGTAGGGCAGCTTTAGTTTCCACTTTGAATTTTCTTGTATTTTTTCTTTTCTTAAAAAGATCTGTAAAGTACATGTTTGTTGAAACATAAATGATAAAAAATATTGCAATTTCTTGACATATCTGAAAGGTAAAAAACAAGAGTCATCTTGTATTTAGCTTAGTGTAATGTCATTTTCACATAAATTGTGAGTGTGATGTGACAGATCAGAAAAGTAGGAACATTTTTATATGAGTTATTTGTAACTTTTTGGGTGGAGGGGAGCAATAGGAGACATGCTTCTTGTTTCCTTTTATAATTTCCAGTTTTTCTTTTAAACAATAACACTGGTTCTGATGACTTTTCTATTTAATTTCTATAAGGAGATTGTATGTGTTTCCATAGAATCATAGAATGGTTTGGATTGGAAGGGACCTTAAAGCTCATCCAGTTCCAACCCCCCTGCCATCAGCAGGGACACCTTCCACTAGACCAGGTTGCTCAAAGCCTCATCCAACCTGGCCTTCAACACTTCCAGGGAGGAGCAGCCACAACTTCCTTGGGCAACCTGTTCCAGTGTCTGACCACCCTCACAGTGAAGAATTTCTTCCTAATATCTAATCTAAACCTCCCCTCTTCCAGCTTAAACCCATTTCCCCTTGTTTTGTCATTAGTTGCCCATAGATCTTATCTTTTGCCCATAGATCTTATATTTTTAAATATCTGTCCTCCATCCACATAAATCAGTTACTTTCTCTCTATCTTTTTGATGAACTATTATTTTTTTGAACTAACTACAAGGAATACAACATTATTTGGTGGTTGAACGCAGTGTTTATCCTTTGGACTTGATACTTCTCTTTGGTGTGAAAAAACCCCAAACCAAGAACCCTGAAAGCAAACAAAGCAGTAACACAGAATTGTTTTTATTATTACTATTTCTCCTGGCATTTCTGCATTTCTGCCTTAAAATCTAAAGGAAATAAATTAATGAGTTTATTCCTACCCTTATAGTTCATATGTGCAGTCCCCACTTTTTTTTCCCCCCACATGACAGACTTCACGAAGGCGCCTGTTAAGATGAGTTCTGAGGGATTATTTCAGTTGCACTTTAATTCATCTCCAGGATCCTCTGGGAAGTTGTTTGCTGGGAAAAAAACCCCAGTGCCCCAAACCCCATTTCATTCCATAATTGTGAGGTTTCCTCTTATATTAAAGTCTTGCTCTAGGGTGTAAAAGTTCAGCGTCTGGAGAATAGATGTTACCTTGGTTTTATGGGGGATTTTTTGTTTGTTTGGGGTTTTTTTTTAAGTTGTTAGGCTCATATAGGCTAGGTAATTTTTTTTAAGATATTCTGTTGGACTTAGTGTGATTGTAAAAGTTTCCCTACTTCCACTACAAGGTAAAAATGTAGAACTGTGACAGTCAATCTGAGATGGTTCTTTGTATATTTGGAAACCCATTTTAACCAGATTCTTTAGAGATATTTCAAGTTTACAATAAAGAATGACAACTACAGCAATTCTTTCAATGAAAATTTAATTCTCAGGTAACTTTTATTTTAGTTTAAACCATCCAAAGAAAAAAAGTTGTTTTTTTTTTCTTCCCCTTGGTGTGAAGTTTGACAATGAAATTGTGTGCCTCTATATTTATGTACTTAGATGATATTGTTAGGAAAAGAAAATGATGTATTATTGGAGTAATGTAGATAAATGAATAAAATATCTAAGCTGATGTTTAATTTTTCTCTATGAACAATTTTAGGAGGTAGAGTAGGGACATTCTTGCTAGGGATTACTTTTGCAAGAGGGAGAGCAGGAGAACTACTTATGGACTGAAATAATGAGGTGCTTGGAAGTCTGATCTGTCTCCCTTTGCATCTCTTACATTTCTTTAGCTGCAACTTCCTAAAAATAAATTAAATAGCAAGGTTAGTGCCTTTATTGCATGGATTTGTGCCCAAGTTGCCTTTTCAGTTGTACCAAAATATCTGTTTAATATTTTCAGTAGGATTGGAAAGGCTTTGGCTATTAATTTTGTTTGGGAAAGGAAAAAACTTCACCGTTTATTTTAATATGAAAGAAAAAAAAGGAGTAGCAAGAGAAACCCTGTCAGTTCTGGCCTGAAGTGACAGTGGGCTTTCACTCACCATCCCTTTGAAACCAAAACGTGTCTGTTTCAGGAGCCTGATGTTTCTAAAAAGACAGAATTTCACAGAATTTCTTCACAAACATAAGCAACTCCTGACCAGCTGCGGGAAGCCGACACTGGCAGCAGGAGCAGCAGTTGGTGTGTGCTCAGAGGAGTCCAAGGCTCACGAGGCCCCTGCTGCTGTCTGAGGGGCTTCTGGGCCCCCAGCCCCTTGTGCTGTGTGTGGGGAGAGCTGGAGGTCTGCAGGGAACTGGAAGGGCTGATGAGGAGGCAGCGCTCTCAGGTTGGCAGAGCCATGATGGGAGAGACCAGGCAAGGGCTGTGCTCTGCAGCAGCAGGAACCAGCTCCCGTGGCAGGATGGTGCCTGGCTCTCTCCAGCTCCCTGAAAGGAGGGTGGAGAGAGGTGGGGGTGGGTATCTTCAACCAAGGAACGAGTGACAGGACAAGAGGAAATGGCCTCAAGTTGCACCAAGGGCAGTTGAGATTGGATGTGAGGAAGAATTTCTTTGCTGAAAGGGTTCTGAGGCATTGGAAGGGGTTGCCCAGGGCAGTGGTGGAGTCCCCATCCCTGGAGGGATTGAAGAGTCATGTAGACACAGTGCTGAGGGACATGGGTTAGTGGGGGACTTGTCAGTGTTGGGTTCATGATGGGACTGGATGAGCTTAAAGGTCTTTTGCAGTTGAGACAATTCTGTGATTCTGTGGCTGCACCCCTGCCTGCTGGGTACAGGAGGGTGGAAGCTCCACCTGTGCAAGGTGTGCTCTGGTGGGGTCACTCAGGCAGTGGGGGCAGGAGGAAGTGAGCAGGTTGTGCTGTATTAGGGAAAATGAACAGGAAATAGAGTATGATTTGAGACTTGACAAGAAGAAGCACTAGGGCCCCATGACACTGACCTCCAGAGACTACCAGAGAGCTTCAACAGCAAACTGGCAGCACCTTGGAGCAGGAGGTGCTGTGGTCTCTGGTGACCCATAGGAGCAGGATATCACTTCACTCCCCTTCCTCACATCTACCAACCAGCAAGAGATACAAACCTTGGCAGAGGACAAAACCCACGAGTGAAATTCACAGGGAGAAGCTGCACCAGCAGCACATCATGAAACCCGCAGAAGGTCACGGTGAGGGCTAGTAGAGGCTGAGAGGCACTGGTGCACCCTTCTGCTGGCCTGGTGTACAGTCAAGAGAGGTTTGCTGCTTGCCAGGAGCCAAGATCTGGGATGTCACAGAGAGACAACTGCCACAGCTAGTTAAAAGCACAGACGACTGTCCCTTATTTATTTTTCATGCGGGCGTCAGTGTCATGGTAAAGCAAAACTTGGGCAAGATCAAGAAGGACTTCAGAGCCCTGGAGGTACAAGTCAAGTGTACAGGTGCCCAAGTGATCTCCTTTGTCTTGGCAGTCAGAGATGGGGTGCAGGCAGAAGTTGCTGCATCATGCAGATCAATACCTGGCTTTGTGGATGGTGTTGTCACCAGGGCTTTGGTTTCTACGATCATGGGATGGCCTTCACAAATGCAGCCTGTTGAGGAGAGGTAGGATCCACCTACCAAGAAGAGACAGGAGAATCTTCGCTAGCGATTGGCTGACTTTGTGAATTGAAACTAACGAACTTGGGGTGGTGGTGTCCAAAACTGTGACAGTTACATGTTCATAAGCAACAGAGTAGATGAGTGCGTCTCTTGAGAGTTGTTAGGAATGCTCCTCATAGTAACCCTCTCCAAAGGCAAGAGCCCTAAGTTCAGCCACCTCGAGTGTATATCTACCAATGCAAGTAGTCTGGGGAACAAAAGGGAGGAACTGGAGCTCTGCCCAGTCTGAGAGTTATGATGTCATAGGAACTACAGAAATGTGGGAATACACACGTGACTGGAAGACCACAATGGATGGCTGCAAACTCTTTTAGAATGATAGGAAATGGGGAAATGGGTTTAAGCTGAAAGAGGGGAGGTTTAGATTAGATATTAGGAAGTTCTTCACTGTGAGGGTGGTGAGACACTGGAACAGGTTGCCCAAGGAAGTTGTGGATGCCCCCTCCCTGAAGTGTTGAAGGCCAGGCTGGATGAGGCTTTGAGCAACCTGGTCTAGTGGAAGGTGTCCCTGCTGATGGCAGGGGGGTTGGAACTGGATGATCTTTAAGGTCCCTTCCAACCCAAACCATTCTATGATTCTATGATAGGAAGGGAAGAAGAGGGGATGGGGTGGACTTGTACTTCATGTGAAAGAGAAATTTGAATGTATGAATGTATGGAGCTGAGCTGTGGAGTCATGAAAGTTCTGTTGAATGCCTTTGGGTCAAGATTAGAGGGGTCATCACCAAGGGACATCTTATATCAGATATCTGTTACCAACCTTCCAGTCAGGATGACAAGGCTGATGAAACCTTATTTGGGCTGCTTAAGGAAGTGTCAGGCCAACAGAACGTGCTCTTCACAGGTGACTTCAATGACATGAACATCTGTTGGGAAAGCAATGCAGCAGTGCAGAAGTTGTCAATGCATTGAGGACTGCTTCCTGCTACATCCTGGATGTTAGGAAAAGGTTCTTCAGGCAGAGGGTGGTGGAGCCCTGGAACAGGCTCCCCAGGGAGGTGGTCATGGCACCAAGCCTGACAAGATTCCAGCAGCATTTGGCCAACATGTGGCCTCAGACACATGGTCTGAATGTTGGGATTGTCCTGTGCAGGGACAGGAGTTGGACTCGATGATCCCCCCTCCCTGGAAGTCTTCAAGGCCAGGTTGGATGAGGCTTTGAGCAACCTGGTCTAGTGGAAGGTGTCCCTGCTGATGGCAGGGGAGGTTGGAACTGGATGATCTTTAAGGTCCCTTCCAACCCAAACCAGTTTGTGATTCTATGATCCTTGTGGGTCCCTTCCAACTCACAGCATTCTTTGGGTCTATGTTGAACCTGCCGACTAGGAACAATGCAGGGCTAGATTTAATGTCTAGAACCCAAGAGGACTTGCTTGGCACCATAATTACCAGTGGTAGCCTTGGATACAGTGATGAGAATGTTGTGGAGTTTAAGATCCTGCTGATCACACTGAAGAGCAGGAGCAGAACAAAGATCCTGGATTTTAGAAGAGCCAAATTCAATGTGCTCTGAGCCCAGATGTGAGGGGTTCTATGGGAAGAATCCATGGATGGTGAAGGAGCTTGTGAGTCCTGTTGGTTATTCAAGAACAGCTTCCTGGAAGCACAGAGCCGCTCCCTTCCCTACTGATGGAAAGGAAGGAGATGGAACAAGAGGCCACCCTGGCTTAATGATGATCTTTTGGGTGTAGTTAAAAGCAAAAAAGATGCATGGCAGCTATGGAAGGGCAACCAGATAACCACTGAGGACTATGAAAACCTTGCTTTGGAGGTTTTCAAGACACAACTGGAGAAAGTGCTGAGAAGCTGAACACGAGCAGACAATGTGCGCTTGCAGCCCAGAAGGCCAATAACCATGTCCTGGGCTGCATCAAGAGCAGCGTGGCCAGCAGGTCGAGGGAGGTGATTCTGCCCCTCTGCTCCGCTCTTGTAAGGCCCCACCTGGAGTACTGTGTCCAGTTCTGGAGCCCCCAACATAAGAAAGACATGGACCAGTTAGAACTAGTCCAGAGAAGGGCCACGAGGGTGATCTGAGGGCTGGAGCACCTCTCCTGTGAGGACAGGCTGAGAGAGTTGGGGCTGTTCAGCCTGGAAAAGGGAAGGCTCCAGGGAGATCTTATAGCGGCCTCCCAGTACCTGAAGGGGCTACAAGAAAGCTGGGGAGGGACTTTTCATAAGGGCAGTTAATGACAAAACAAGGGGAAATGGGTTTAAGCTGAAAGAGGGGAGGTTTAGATTAGATATTAGGAAGAAGTTCTTTCCTGTGAGGGTGGTCAGACACTGGAACAGGTTGCCCAAGGAAGTTGTGGATGCCCCCTCCCTGGAAGTGTTGAAGGCCAGGCTGGATGAGGCTTTGAGCAACCTGGTCTAGTGGAAGGTGTCCCTGCTGATGGCAGGGGGATTGGAACTGGGTGATCTTTAAGGTCCCTTCCAATCCAAACCATTCTATGATTCTATAATCTCATCCAGCTGCCCTTTTCCATGAAAGATTGCACCAGATGAATTTTGAGGTCCCTTCCAAGCTGGGCAATTCTATGATTCTGTTTTATTCCGTCTGTGACAAGGCTGTTAAAGTGCTCTGAAGTGCAGCCTTTGTGACTCTCTGTGCCTAAATGCTGTGTAGCCAAAATACGTGATGTGTTACTTTTTTCCAGTATGTCCTCAAATTCTTGATTCTTTTCCGTTTGCGTATTATGCCGATTAGAATCCATACTGGATGTTTGCTCAGAGAAAGAGAGTAAATTAATGTTAATTTACTATTAAGGAAGAAAAAAAATTGACTTTAGGTGTTTATGACATCAAATATGCGTTTCCTGTAAGTAACTGTGAATCGTGCCTTTTATTTTGCAGACATTATAAGAAGCGTTGCCAAGGCCGGATGAGGAAACACGTTGGTGACCTGTGTTTACAGGCGGGCATGTTACAAGATTCCTTGGTCCATTACCATATGGCGGTGGAACTTCTGCGGTCTGTGAATGACTTCCTATGGCTTGGAGGTATGATTCAGTGGTGATAGTGAATTAAATCATTAGTTGCTAAAACCATGGAAATCAAACTATCTTCTCTAAATTTCCTTCTGTATTAGGAAAAGTAGACATTATTTTGGTGACTAAAATCTGAATATCAGGTGTGACTAAGAATTAAGTTGAAATAAAAATTAGTGAGTAGGACATGCGAAAGAAATGTGTTTAAGAAAACCTGCAATGTAAAATGTGTTACTGCAGTAAAGCATGTACTTTAAAAAAAAATCTGCATCTGACTTTTTAGTGATTCTCTGGAAGATGTTTGTTTTATCAGTGAATTGCACAGATGTTTTAAAAAGTCTTTCCTGTGGGTATCTACTGTGGACTATTAGGAAGAGATTTTTGCCTTTGCATCTACCAAAGCCACAAGAGTTTAATTTCCACTGGCACAACTTCCTTCCTTTCACATTAGGTCCTAAGCTTCGCTTTCTTTTCCTGCCTTTTCCTTCATCCTTTCCTTTTCTTTTTTTTAATTCCTGCTTTTTACTATTTATTGGATATACAAGTGATCTTTGAGCACAGTTTCTGCATCTGAATTTCATACCCTTTCAGGACAATTGCTGTCTTTAGTTCTGCTTTTAGCTTTTTCCTTCTCCTTGGTAATCCATTTAGCTTCCTAATGGCTCTGTAGGTTATGTATTGTGAAAACCTTAACACCTTCTGACCTTCTGATTCTTCCTTTCTACTCTTCCAAAAGGTTAAATGGCTCAGGATTCTTCAAGCAGGAGAGGAGAACTTTTCTCCTTGTGCAGAGCATGAAAATATTTTAAGGCCCCTCTGTTGGACTGTCAGATTATACTTACAGACTCATAGAATAATTTGGATTGGAAGTGACATCTGGAGGTCCCCATGTCTGCTCTGCTGCTCATGTCACATCCAGTTAGATCAGGTTGCTCAGGGACGTGTCCAGTGGAGTTCTAGGTATATTTAAGGGTGGAAGTTCTACAATCTCTTAGCAACTTGTTCTAACATTTTGCTGCTTGTAGTCTGAAAAAAAAACAACAACAAAACATAAATTGTTATAGAATCATAGAATGGTTTGGGTTGGAAGGGACCTTAAAGTTCATCTAGTTCCAACCCCCCTGCCATCAGCAGGGGCACCTTCCACTAGACCAGGTTGCTCAAAGCCTCATCCAGCCTGGCCTTCAACCCTGCCATGGAGGGGGCATCTACAACTTCCTTGGGCAACCTGTTCCAGTGTCTGACCACCCTCACAGTGAATAACTTCTTCCTAATATCTAATCTAAACCTCCCCTCTTCCAGCTTAAACCCATTTCCCCTTGTTTTGTCGTTAACTGCCCTTATGAAAAGTCCTTCTACATTAAAGCAGAATTTCCTGTGTCAACTTGTGTTGACCCTCATCCAATCGCTGCACCGCTGAGAAGCATCTGCCTCCATCTCTTCTGTACCTTCCCGCTGGGTGTTTAAAGACATCAGTAAGATTTCCCCTCAGCCTCTTGTTCTTTGAGGCTGGACAAACCCAGTTCTCTCTGTTTCTCCTACGTCATGGGCTCCAGCCCCCTGACCACTTTACTGCCCTTCAACTGGACTTGCTTTGGGATGTTAATGCCTTTCTAGTACTGAGAAGCCCAAAACTGGACGCACTACTCCAAATGTGGTCTCTGAGATGCAGAATAGAAGGGGAATAATTGCTTCCCTTCACTTGCTGGTGACACTATGGCTGTTACAGCCCAGCATGCAGGTGGCCGCTGCTGTTGCCAGGGCCTACTGCTGACTGCTGTTAACTTGTAGTCCACCAGGACCCCCAGGTCTTCTTCTGCAAAGCTGCTTTCCAGCCAGTCAGCTCCCAGGCTGCGCTGCTGCACAGACTTGCCCCATCTGAGATGCACAAGCCTTTCTTGAACTGCATGAGGCTCCTGTTGGCCCATATCTCCAGCCTGTCAGGTTCTCTCTGCATTGAAGGCCTGCACCGCTCTTTCTTACCCACAATTTTGTATTGCCTAGGAATTTTCTGGGAGTGCTCTATGCAATCATCTAAGCTGTTAATGAAGACATCGAGGTTTTATTCCCAGTATTCATCCCTGAGGGCCACCACTAGAAAAGGGCAACCATTTGGACTTTGTACTGCTGATCACAATCCTTTGAGTTTGGCTGTCCAGCCTATTTTCCACCTACTTTATAGACCGGCTATCCAAACCTTATTTATCAATTTGGCTACATGGAGACCATGTCCAAAGGTCTTGTGAAAGTCAGAATATCCAATCAACAGCCACTGCATCCATTCCTTTGTCCACTGACCAGGGAAGTTGCCCCTGAACTGGGCACTGGTGAGGCGGCACCTCGAGTGCTGGGTTCAGTTTTGGGCCCCTCACTCCAAGAAGGACATGGAGGCGCTGGAGCGTGTCCAGAGAAGGGCAACGGAGCTGGGGAAGGGTCTGGAGCACAAGTGTGATGAGTTCATGGCTGAGGGAACTGGGGTTGTTTAGGCTGGAGAAAAGGAGGCTCAGATCTTCTGGCTCTGTCCAAGTCCCTGAAAGGAGGGTGGAGAGAGGTGGGGGTGGGTCTGTTCAACCCAGGACCAAGTGACAGGACAAGAGGAAATGGTCTCAAGTTGCACCAAGCGCAGTTGAGATTGGATGTGAGGAAGAATTTCTTTGCTGAAAGGGTTCTGAGGCATTGGAAGGGGTTGTCCAGGGCAGTGGTGGAGTCCCCATCCCTGGAGGGATTGAAGAGTCATGTAGACACAGTGCTGAGGGACATGGGTTAGTGGGGGACTTGTCAGTGTTGGGTTCATGGTTGGACTGGATGATCTTAAAGGGCTTTTCCAGTTGAGGCGATTCTGTGATTCTCTGAGCTAATCATCTCATCATAGGAGGCAGTGAGATTGCCAAGGACTGATTTATCCTCGGTAAATCAATGTGTACTGTTCCCAGTCACCTTCTCGTCCTTCATCTGCTTGGAAATGGCTTCCAGCAGGATTTCTTTAGGGCCTTTCTGGGGAGCTGACATTGATCTGCCTGGTACTTCCTTCTTGAAGGAGGGTATGATGTTTCGCTTTGTCCAGTCATTAGAAACCTTCCCCAACTGGCATGACCTGTTGGAGTGGTTAAGAGAGTGGTCTCACATTGACCAGCTCTCTTGGTATCTGTGGATGCATCTTACCTGGTTTTGTGGATTTGCATCCAGCTGCATTAAGTGCTTTGTGTGTCTGTCTGCCTCTACGGGGGCTGGGGCTGGTGCTTACTGCAGATTCTGCTGGTAGGTTTGAGGACCTAGGAGGTCTGAGGGTGAACCTTACAAGATAAAACAGAGGTAAAAAGGACATTGAGTATCTCAGGCTTTCCTGTGACCTTTGTCACTAGGTCTCCAGTTTAAGGCATACTTTATGTTTGTGTAAATAGACTTTACTACATGGATACTTCACTTCTTGCAAGTATCTCTACTAATCTGTTGGTTTTTTCCTTTGTTCTGCAGCTGCTCTGGAGGGTTTATGCTCAGCATCAGTCATCTATCATTATCCAGGTGGGACTGGAGGTAAAGTTGGATCTCGCAGGGCACAAGGAGGTTCTCTTTCTGCTGAGGCAGGCAACAGGCACAGACCAGGTAAGGGCAGGATTTCATTTTGATTCTGGTTGCTGCCACTGAACATCTGAAAATTTCTTCCCTAATTCCTGATTCTGTAAAGTTACGGGATGAACTGGAGGGGGGGGGAGGGGAGAACTGTATTTCTTTTTAACATTCTTACTTTAATGACTCTTCTCCTGTTCTCATGTTAATATCAACATGTATCCTTTGCATATTGTTGCAAAGCTTTTGATCTCCTCATCTGATTGTTAATAGTGTTTGATTAGTTTGACTTTTGCTGGAGGAGATGAAGACAGTTTTCATAAAGTACATATGATGTGGCAGAGCTGCACATATTAAGAAGAGTAAGTTAGGTACATTTATTCAGAGGTGTTTCGCTATTTTGAAGTCAACACTTAATAAATAGATTTGGTTAACTGAATATCAATACACCAACATGATTTTTAAGATTAAATATACTTTTTCTAAACACCCAAGTGCATAACTAATATGAGGATTGTATTAACATTGATATGACAGACATTCTTTGAGAAATGGTCTGCTTAAAATGTTTTAGAAGTCATTAGGAGAATTTCACTAGGAGAATTACAGAGAGAAAACCACAGAAAATACTGTGAAGTCTGTGGCTCACCTGCATCTGGAATATTGTATGTTATTTCCGTTTTCCATCTCAAAAAGGTGTTCATATTCCTTATCCCCCATTTTTCTACTAGAAGGAGGTTGCAGATTGGCAACAAAGATGATCTTGATATGGTCTCTGTACAAAGAATAGCTGAATAGTCTAGGACTTGTCAGTTTAGCAAAAGAGATGGCTGAGGAGAAATGAGAGCTCTGTAATACGATGAACGTTGTGGAAGAGGATGGATGGGGATCAGAGGTTCAGTGTTTCCTCTGATAGAAGAACTGGAGGACATCAAATAGAGCTAGCAGATGGAAAAGCAAATGGAAGGAATTGTTCTTTATGCAATGTATAGTGATGACATGGAATTCCCTGTCATTAGGAGTTACCAGATTCGTTAGTGTGATAGAGGCAAGGCTGCTGCAACCCCACGTCCCCAGGTCACCAGGCTGAGTGTCCATTCCCAGTAGGTGGCCAGGCCCATGTACACACAGCCACACAGACCAACACAGGCAGCAAACACAGCGCTGACATCCACACAGGCAGCACTACCAGCCTGATCCTGCTCCCCTCTCTGCTGGTCAGGATGAAAGCCTGTTAGGAGTGTGGATCCATCCAGGAGCTGGTTTTAAGCTCTTAAGTCTATCTGACAGTCTAACTGAGTTGCAGCAGTTGCTGGCACCTGGTCCTACAAGCCTCCAAGACCCAGAGCCCTGTTCCAGTTGCTGGTACTTAGACCTGCACACACACATGCATTCCCCTTATCTCTCTATTTTGCCATGCTTGTTCCCTGAACTGCCTTGAATCCATCCTTTTCCTTGTCTTTGCTTCATCTCCTATACATCCCATAAGAAATCTTGTACAATCCCAAGATGTTCTTTCCCTGTATCCCCCCTGAGTCTGTCTGTAAGGTGATCCAGAGGGTTGCTCGTGTTTACTGTTTGTGGTGGGTTTCACCCCTGGACAGCTCTGTTGGCTCTGATTTAGGTTGTTTTTATTACTAGGAGACACTGGCCCAGGTCACCCAGAGAAGTTGTGGCTGCTCCTCCCTGGAAATGTTCAAGGCCAGGTTGGATGAGGCTTTGAGCAACCTGGTCTAGTGGAAGGTGTCCCTACTGATGGCAGGGGGGTTGGAACTGGATGAGCTTTAAGGTCCCTTCCAACCAAAACTATTCAAGGATTCTATAATTGGAGTTCAGCTGATTGTCACTGTTCCTCTGTGCTCCTTTGTGTTTGTGGAGATGAATCTTTAATCGCATAAACTAACACTTGACACATGGTTTTAAGGCTCCTGAAATGTTCTGTGGCTTCCAGGGGAGCCTGGCTGAGGTAGTGAGAGGAAAATGTATTGATTATTATAAACTAGAGGGACCTTTGCTCTAACCCAGCACAGATGTTTCTACGTATATACTCAGGTTCTTCCACAGTACTGAAACCAACAGAAGCTGTTAAGGATTAAGTGCTCTTGTGTGTAATGTGATCAAAATGACTTTCTTCATCGAAAGAAAGTGACCACCCATCTTTATTCCTCTGTAAGTCACAATCTAGTAAACCCTTGCATTGAAATATCTCTGTTACAAACTGTGCATGTTGACAGCAGATAATTGTGAGAGTAAAATTACTTTATTTCAGGAGAGAATACTAATTTTTCATATAATAGCTAAAATCTTTACAATCTGTGTTTGGTCCCATCAGCTATGAGTGCATTTTATGTTGACTCTTATATTTTCACACAGTTACTGACCTTTGTCTACTTTTCAACAGACATTTACCAGTAGATGTTGCACTGTGTGTTTGTGATAGGTACTCCTTGTTACTAAAGATGGTAACAAATAAGTCACAGCTATCAGAATAATGAAATAAAATATATTTTGAGTATATTATTGCTGCTCCTCTATACAAGTTGTCTTACAATTCAGAGTCCTGTTTGCAAACTTATTAGTGTGGACATATTTTAAAAAATGTTTTAGTTTCGCATGAAAAGATTTTTCAAAGGACTTTGGTGTGAAGAAAAACTCATTACAGGTTTTTTTTAATCCCTTCCAGATGAAAATGTTTCTGCATGGTCCATTAGATATTGTTCACTAACTCTGGTTATGACCTCTTAATGTTTTGAGATCTGAACTGCTAAACTCTGTCTAGCCAAACAGATGCTGTTGTGATGTCTTTTTCCTACATAGTTTTCTGAAGGTTTCTTTTCAATACCTTTTCTTGACTCTACAGTGCCTTTCATTTAAAATCTTTTCAAATTGCACCTTGGTTTATAATCTACTTTGTTATAATTAATTTTGTGAGGACAGTATTTAATTTGGGGAACAAATTCCAGTGTCTTTTTCTGTAGGGTAAGGGGTTTCCAAATTTTGCACAAATCAATAAATGCCATACCAGGGGTGATGTTCTTCACTGTGAGGGTGGTCAGACACTGGAACAGGTTGCCCAAGGAAGTTGTGGATGCCCCCTCCCTGGAAGTGTTGAAGGCCAGGCTGGATGAGGCTTTGAGCAACCTGATCTAGTGGAAGGTGTCCCTGCTGATGGCAGGGTGGTTGGAACTGGATGATCTTTAAGGTCCCTTCCAACCCAAACCATTCTGTGACTCTATGATTCTGTGTCAGCTTCTGAGGCATATCGATGTGAGAGTTTCCTTTATTGCTTCCTGATGTGCCTGGAATCACACCTCTTCTTGTGCCTGTACTTCAGCCTTGCCAGGATGGGGTGTCTTGGTACTGCCTTTGTGCCCAGACCCGGTCAAGCGAAACATCTTTCTCTTAAATCTCCTGTGACCTCCACCATTTGCACCATTTGGCATTTTTAGGCTATAACACAGGACCTGGCTGCTCAAAAAATGTTGTGGTGTCTGCTTTATTCAGAAACATCTTTGAAAAAAGAAGCTTTGATATCGTCTCTCTTTGTATAATAAAGAGCAGGAGCTGAAGAGGACAGTGTTAAAGGAGGGGGTTTTGGTGGTTTTTTTTCCCCCACTAAGTGGAATGGCAATATATTTCATACCTGTCTGTAACCATCAGGGTATTGTCTGTTGGTGTACCCTTCAACTTCTTTTGAAACTTTTGATAGAAATAACTAATTCAGAAAAGAATTAGTTGATAAAATAGTGTTTAAAGTACTTCTCTGACGGAAGGAGACATGGAACCTTGCGTGCTCCAAAGACATGTTTCTTCCTTGGCCATTGCCACGAGCCCTTGGACTGCAGTGTCTTGCTGATTGTGAAAAGGGAACTTTTGACATTTTAAAAAGTGTGACTTCTCACCTTCCTAAAACCTTTTGTTTGTAGGGGGAGAGCTTTAGGCTGTTTCCCCTTGAATGGCTGGATTCATCTCTGCAGCCTTCAGCGTAAAGATTTCGAGTTGCTTAGTTCTTGTTGTCCAGGAACCTGGCCATGGCCTGTTGGCTGTGTGATTTGTACATTGAATAAGCTGAGTCTAGATTGTTTTATATTTAGCTTACTAGCTGTTTGGGGTTTCTCTGTTGTGTTTTATTGGTTTGAAGTGCTCAGCTCTTAATTTTGTCACCTGTGTCCCCAGGCAGAATTAATTCACTGGGTGAAGTGTTGGAGTATCTTTTCGATCTAGCTCTAAAACTGTACTTCACTAGTCTGGAGTCTGAGCAAATTAACTGAAGGGAGGTCCTGTCTCGCTCAATAAATTGTTTTTGACTGTTTAACCCTTGGTTTTAACAATTTTATTGCCATATTTAATCAAAGTTTAGGGCAACGAGGTGTTGTAGATCTGACAATCCAACTTCGCAATACTCTTGGCAACTCTTTTATGTGAATAGTCTGGGTTGTTGGTTTGGCATGATTCAATTATTCAGAAACTTTGATGGAGTGAAATGAATGACAATTGAAAGGGCTAAAATGACTGGAAAATGTTATTCTAGAGTATTGTGTAGAGTAAATGAGCTCCCACAAGGAGTTTCAAGTACCGTAGGACCTGATATTAAAATATAGTAAGTGGATTGTGATGGAAACTTGCCAACTAAAACAAGAATAAAGAAAAAGGGTATGGCTTTAAATTATACACTGAAAATACATCAATTCTTCTTGACGTGAATTTGTTGCAAGTTTACAGGATTTTTATATTTGTTTTTTTAACAAAAGGAGATTTAACATATGGTGACTACTTTAATCATGATTAGTAGTCCTTCAAAATAGCAATGATGATCCTAATAAATCTTTATAATTTTGTTCAAGCCTGATGTTAGTTGTAAAACATTCTAAGAGCTTATTTTGTTGGCTGTATTTAAGGCTGAAAAAAAAAAATCCTTTTTGTTCCTCCTTTCAGGGGCACAAGAAGTTCTCATTGATCCAGGTACATTATTTTCATGCATGTTTCCAAAATCTTTTCTTTTATTACTTACATATGTTTTGCATTTGTTTAGATAGTTACTGCCACCTGCCAAAATTAGTTCTGATTCCTCATGCTTCAGTTTTTTACTGTAAATCTTGAGGAAGCAAAGAGACTGAAGGGTAACTGGCACAAAACAAACGATGTGGTTCCATGACTGTGTCCCTGTAGAATGTACATTCTAATCAAGTTTGTTTCTTCTCATGAGTAGTGAGGATTTAAAAATATTTTTTAACCAACAAACCCAAATGGTCACATGTAGTGTCGTGGTACTGTTACAATCATCACTAACAAAGATTTTGCACTTAACTTCCATCAAAACCCTAAGGTGCTAATCTACAGATGTGCTTGGTACGATTCTTTAAGGTTGATAAACACATTAAAAAGTTGCTTTAGAATTTGGGCACGTAAAATAACTTATTTCTGTATGTGCAGGGGGACTAGAAAGTCACAGCAGTTTTTAACTGTCTGTAGAGAGTTAGGTCCAGCTCTGAAACACAAAGCTTTCTTTGCCATCTTAGTAGAGAAACCTCTTGGAGAAATAAATTACTATATAATCATACAGATTAAGTAACATGTAGAAGGGTGTAGAACCTTGCCAAACCTTTGATGTATATTCTCAATTTTATTATGTTAACTCTGCAATAAAATTAAATTCTAGAAAGAAAATTTTCATGTTCTTTGTAATACTCCAAATTTTCTTGGCTTCTATTTCAGATTCTTATCCCTTATGTATGCAAAGACTCTTTCTGTCTCTCACCTTCCTTTTTATATAAGAAACACAATTTCTTAGTGTTTTGTCTGAGCCTCAAGTAATTTTTTTTTTATTTTAATGTGGAAGGCTCAGATTTGGTGGCCTTTGTTAAAATGTGATGCTTGGTTGTCTGTGATTAGACATATGGAAGAGAATTAGTTGTTTTAAATGATTGGTGGAGAAGGTCACTGTTCTAATAATTAGTTCATTAAAAAATTACACTTTTTTTTTTCTTAGCTGTGCTTTAGAAATACAATAAAACAAGGAATAATTCAAAGATTAAAATTGCATATTGAGATGTGGCCATAATCCAATTTTAGCAATCTACTATTTAGCAATCTAATATTTTATTCATAGTCTAAATATTCAAAAAAATGCAAAAGATTATGAATATATTTGTGTTTTACTAAGTGAAAGATTATTTCCTCTTTGCTGATTGTATGATTGAATCCATTTTTCATTTGTCCTCTTTAAAATAGCACAGTAAAACAGAACGAGTGTTTTCTAGGTAGGGCACTACCTAGAAATAGGATAGCTATAGCTATACACTATTCTTTGTGTATGCTTTTGTCAAACCTAAAGTATATTTTAGTTTTCTTCTTCGATATTTAGTATTTGCTAAAAGTCCTCCTGCTCATTTCTTACCCTGTTCTGTTCTAGGTGCCCTGACTTCAAATGGTATAAATGCAGATACCAGCGCTGAGATAGGCCGTGCCAAGAACTGCCTTAGTCCTGAGGATATCATAGACAAATATAAAGAAGCCATTTCTTACTATGGCAAGGTAATCCTGCTTATTTTTGAAGAAACTTCACTGAAATTCATGTGAATAATGAACTGCTGTGGTTTTTTGTTTCAGAGGGTCTTCTAAAGCATATGCAATAAAGTTTGTAGAATATGGGATAATAGAAGAATTAGGGATAATTTATGCTTCTGAACCAAGTGCTTGGTTTAGAGACTGGGAATCTCAGAGCTTTGGTCAAAGACAACACCTAAACCAGCAGTGTGGTGAGTAACTATTTACTGTGCCTGCTGGTACCTGAAGGTTTTGGATTAATTGTCTTAGATTCTGTCTAAGCAGAAGTGTCAGATATTTGAAGGTTTGTTCACTATTACATATGTTTATGGTCCTTGATACCTACATCATCAACTCCAGTGATGCTTTTATGCATTGAGTAAGCTGAATATGTATTTACTGTGCCTGTGGGAATGACCTCCAGGGAATTCAGGAGTTTATGAAGAGGTTGCTGATGGTGGATGTGATTTGACAGGATTGATCAGGGAGGCTGGTTATGTCGAGCATGAGGAGAGGTAGGGCATCATGGAGGAAATGGGAAGAACAAACGTTCTTAAAAGGAGATTTACAAAAATTAAACAGTTTCCAGCGTAGTTTTTAAGCTAATGTAAATATGATGTGGCATTTCCATGTCTGTGTTGAAGGGAGACTCTCCAAATGAAACCAGATAAATTGTGTGCGTGAGTTAATTTATGATCAGGAGCAATGAAAAGTGATAGTTTTGGGGATAGTTTCAGATAAATTTGAATCCATCAATATAACAATAACTCTCAAGTGTGCTTTCAGCTTTTTATGTTTTAAGGGTAAGTTGCTTATCTAGAAAGAGTATGATTTATTTATTAGTATAAAATTATTGGACTTTGTTGGACTTAGGGCAGGATAATTATATTTTTATTGTAATTATATACATTATGCTCTCAACCAGTAATAACTATGCTTCACTGCAGCTGCACTTGCAAATAACCAAGAGCTTTGTCTTGGGACTGATCTATAACTGTTCAAGACATGCATAGTAAGCTTTCATCTGTTTAAGACCTACAGGTAGAGTAACTCCTAGCTCTGATGCCGAGGAAGCAGCACTTTATATATTCTTTAATGTTATCACTGAGCTTAAGAAACTTTTGTAGCATCTTCTAAAATGGATTCAATCTCCAGTGATTTGTTTTTGCTGATATAAATGCAAAAGAGAGAAATATGGAACTACTTTGATGGAGTAACCTTTACATTTTGTTCTGAGCTTTATTTCCTCCATTAGTTTTCAAACAAAATAAATGTCTGAACAGAATTTAACTTCAACAGGAGATAGACCGAGTCAAATATCCAATATCAGTGTTATTTGAGGAAATAAGTGGATCAGACTGTTTGTCTGGAAAATTGCCTGTGTTTGTTGTCTGAGCTCAAACAGTTCTGCACATCTGTATAGTCTCCTGCCTTTCTTAAGTGAGCTGAGCAACTGGAACAGTCATTTACAGAAAATGTTTTGTAAATAGACACTAGAAAACTCAGGATGGTTTGTAATTCACATCTCATCAGTGATATTGTTTTAACTAAAGAGAAAATTGATGCACTGAAACTAAAGGTCTGTTGCTACAGCTTCCTGTGCGTCTCTAGCAGATTTTGTAATTAATAAAGGCAAAATTAATTCTTTATTTATCATGACAGAACAATTTTAGGTGGTGATGAATTACTGTAAAACTGACCTTTTTGTGTACATACCTATTACACTGTGAAGGTAGAATTTATTGCTTTGTTGCAGTCACACCACCCACATCTACCATATATATGAGGTTATCCAAAATTGTACTGAGATTCCCAACTTTTCTCCTTGTCTGAACTCTCAGACTGAGGCTGTGCTGTGTCTCAAAATAAGAAAAGGGAGTGAAGAAGCTGATAATGGTTGTTTTGAATGATAACATTTTAGATGACACCTTAATTTTCACTTGGACATGTGTTGATAATTTAACAGTATAGTCACTAGCATTAAGGACTTGCTGGGTTTGGAAGATGTGACAGCTGATTTGTGTGTTGAGCAGAAATACTTATCGAATCTAAAAGGTGTGATGCTTCAATATTATTTTAATTTTCTCCCTCTTCAAGTACAAGAATGCTGGTGTGATTGAACTGGAAGCCTGCGTGAAGGCAGTCAGAGTCCTTGCAATACAGAAAAGGAGCATGGAAGCCTCTGAGTTTCTTCAGAACGCGGTTTATATCAACCTTCGTCAGGTTGGTGCAGAAAGTCCGGTTATTTTTCTCTTCTCATTTGAGAGATTATACTGAAGTGTGAAAATTACTTAGATTCAGAAAACTCCAGTTTTTTAGCTGTCTCACTACCTTCTTTCTCACTAGGACTTGACTTCTGAGCATTTTCACATCTGAGAGTCTGGTTAAAAAAGGTATTCAGAGTTCATCTAAAAACATGAGGACTTAGGTTGAGATTAAAGACTCTATTGGTTATTTTCCCTTGCGAAGAAGAAAAAAATCCCATTGTTGTTCTATTGTGATGTTGTACAAGGGAAAAATAGCTGCTTGGGACAGATCTGCAGTGGGTTTTTTCTTGATTGTATCTTGTTCAGTGAAACTGTGAGCAAATCAGGAATAGCCCGTTGCAAGGTGAGTTTAAGAGGCTGACTAGTGTTGTTAATCAATTAAACTTTTGTTGTGTAGTGCAGAGTCTTGGTTAGGCCAAATCTGAAAGGAATTCAGAGGAGAAAATCAGTATTTGGAACTGTGAGAAAAACACTCAGTACCACCACAGAACAAGACTACACTATCAGTGTCTCAAGCTTGGTGTCACTGGCTACAGAGAGACTGCTGTGGTTGAAAGAATTCATACAAAGCTCTGAGGTTTCTTACTGTTTTGCCTCTTTTGCTTGTTACATTTTGGTAAGACTAGCAGTTTAAGTCCACACCATTCAGTTTATTAAGCCTTCTGTGGAGTCAATTTTCTAACCCAACATAAGAAATTGATTAATTGATAAGCTGCCACGTTGCAACGTTCCTTAACTGCCGTAACCCTTGCAGTGCTAAGGGCCTTCTCTTTAATTCTGTCGTCTGTCTTTCGCCAGCAGCTCTGTAGCCTTTCACAGAAGCTGCTGTGGCAATATTTTTCTCTTGCATGGTTATTTTCGTGGCCTGCAAACTCCAATATTGTTGTTCTGTTCTTTTTCTTATGGAAACAATTACTGTGGTTGTGAGAATGACCTGTTCTCCTCTCTGACGCTACTGATGATGCAACTTTCACTTTGTATTAGAGGAAAAAAAATAAGACTTTGTGAATGAGAAATTATATGTGTCATTTGAGTCTCCTGGGTTGGGGCAATCCCAAGCACAAATACAGGTGGAGAACGGATCAAGAGCAGCCCTGAGGAGAAGGACTTGGGAGTGTGGGTTGATGAGAAGCCACTCTGTCACTCGCCCTCCTCAACTGGGCAAGGGAGAGAAAATATAATGAAAGGCAGGGAGAGACCATTCGCCAATTACAGTCAGTGGCAAAACAGACTTGACTTAGGGAAAATGAATTTAATTTATTGCCAGTCAAAATCAGAGGAGGATAATGAGAAATAAACCTAAATCTTAAAACACCTTCCCCCACCCCTCCCTTCTTCCCAGGCTTGACTTTGCTTCTGATTTTCTGCCTCCTCTCCCCCAGTGGCACAGGGGGATGGCGAATGGGGGTTGTGGTCAGTTTGTCACATGTGTCTCTGCTGCTCCTTCTTCCTTGGGGGGAACTCTCACGCTTCTCCCCACCTCCAGTGTGGGGTCCCTCTCACGGGAGACAGTCCTCCATGAACTTCTCCAACCTGAGTGCTTCCCATGGGCTTCAGCTCTTCACGAACTGCTCCAGCCTGGGTCCATTCCATGGGGTGCAGTCCTTCAGGAACAGACTGCTCCAGTGTGGGTCCCCATCTGCAGCAACAGTGCACTGCTGCAGCAACAAAGGCAAATTGGATCCTGGGATGCATCTGCCGGGGCATTGCCAGTAGAGACACAGATGTGATCATCCCACTCTACTCAGCGCCTGTCAGGCCACACCTGGAGTACTGTGTCCAGCTCTGATCCCCATAGTTCAAGAAAGACATGGACAGCCTGGAGAGGATCCAAAGGAGGGCCACAAAGATGATCAAAGGGCTGGAGAACCCGCCTGGTGAGGAGGGAAAGACTGAAGGAGTTAGGTCTTTTTCTCTGTGAAGAAGAGAAGGCTCAGGGGGGATGTCATCATGTACTCCAGGACTTAAAGGGCAACTGAGTAGAGGATGAAGGCTCTTTTCTCACAAGGAGCCACGTGGAGAAGACAAAGGCAATGGGTACAACTTGCATTGGGAGAGGTTTCATTGCAATGTAAGAAAAGAAATATTTTAGTAAGAAATCTTTCACTGGGACAACCTCCCCAGGGACATGAGGGAGTCTGCATTGCTGGAGGTTTTCAAGATGCTACTGGAAAGGGTGCTAGATGATCTAGTGTAGACTCCCTTTCCCACAAAAGGTTGCACCAGAGGATCTTTCAAGATCCCTTCCAACCTTGGCTGTTCTATGATGATTCTGAGTGTAACTCTATCATTTGCACAGCATGGGAGATCAAACTAGATGGTGGTGGTTACTCAGTAGATGTGCTCTAGAAGAAAAGATACATTAAATTGGATACTCAGGAGGATGATAATTTTTCTTCTCAGGTGATAATTTTTCTTCTTAGGTTGCCCAAGGAAGTTGTAGATGCTCCTCCCTGGAAGTGTTTAAGGCCAGGCTGGATGAGGCTTTGAGCAACCTGATCTAGTGGAAGGTGTCCCTGCTGATGGCAGGGGAGTTGGAACTGGATGATCTTTAAGGTCCCTTCCAATCCAAACCATTCTGTGATTTTATGATATTGGTAGTCACTGATTTTTTTAAAAAATTTTTGGGTTTGGGTTGAGTCTTTTCCCCTGAATCTTCTACTGTGTTTTGTAGACCTAATGATCAGTTGTTCATCTCCTGATGTCAGCTCTATCTATTACCATTATGCCACTGTAGAAATTCAGCATATGAAAAAAAAAGACACCTTGACAACATTGATTATTTGTGCATTGAGGCTCGCTGCTGAGCTCTGAACCATTCTTCACCTTTATTGATTTCAATCAAGGATGACATTCCTCTAGCTTGTAACTGCACTTGTCTACTATTTTGTCATTTTCTTGAGTGGAAGTGTTTCTAGAAAACATTATTATGAGAAATATGAGTAAGATAGTATTTCCAGTGGTGGGGAATGTATTTTCCATAAAGAGGGGTGTGGCTGCAAATTAGATTTACAGCTCTTCAGGATTTACTGCACATAGCATGGGGGCAGATAATAGTTTATAATTAACTAACTCAAAGGAGGAGTCATCCTGTGATACAGGAGGCAAACTGTAGGACAGTGTTTTTCTCTTGCAGGTGGATAGAACTTCAGCACAACCAATATTCAACAGCAGAAAACACCTCACAGGATAAAGCATGTGCCTCTGATAAACTAGTTTCCTTCTGTATATTCAGTCTCCTCCCCAGTCTAGTAACATAGTATAATTGGAATTTTCTGATTATAGGAGAGCTGCAGGGTAATAAGACTTATCATTACATGCAGTTATGAGGAATAAATTTTAACATCTAATTACAAAGAAAGTGAGATTATAGAATTTTAATATAGTAAGGAATAATTAAAAAACAAATAAAAAGCTACTTTCTTGGGAGCCTGTCTTAAAACAAGCCTGTGAAAAAAACTGGCTTAGTTGCTTGGATAGTGAACTACAGCCTTTAGAGGTGCAATTGCTGACTTGGTTTGTTCTAACAGTTAATTAACCAGATGGAAAAGATGCTCTGCTTCAGGTGTTGGCTATTTTGCAGCCACCTTATAGGCCTTAAAATTTTATAAATTGGTAAGGTGAGGAAGGATGTGAATGCTACACTAATAACCTGCAGAATGCCTGCTGCAGTCTTCCCTGAATTAATTACTTGGAGTATGTGTGCCTGGTTTGCTTTTAAATCACTAGGTGGTAACACATAACTATTTGTCCTGAGAAAAAAATGCAATTTTGCTCTCTTTGTGGTGATGAAAAAACAGTTTCTTGCAAATGCAGAAAATATTTGAATAACTTTGGAGACAATCATTAAGCAACAAGTTAGGTAGCAATGTTAAAAACTTACTCAGATATGATAAAAATAAAACTTTCTGGGATTCTGTGGCCTCTCTGTTAGTTGTTCCAATTACTAGTGAGTGCTCGTGTCTACCTGAATAGCATGACCCCATCTTTTCTTAAAATTTTAGTTTCCCTAGGTGTGTGAGCACTGACAGTGTTATCTGTTTGAGGAATAGCTTTTGATAGTGGCTTTTTTTAATCTTTTCTGACTTTATACACAATTATGTGCTCGTGCCCTTTCTGGCTCTGCTGCCGTATTTTTTTTTATTGGGCTAACTTTTAAAAAATGATAAAAATGGAGGAGAAAAAAAAAAAAGGATGGAGCAGCTTTTTTTTTTTTCTGCTGGAGTAGGTGACTTTAATCTGACATCTCCTGTTCTTTCTGAATGAAAGCTTTTGGGGATTCTGATAAACTGGGTTAAAATTGTTCTGTATTTTATTTTTGTGCCTCGTGTTCTTTCCAGCTGCATTGATTCATGGAAGTTTTCAGCTTGGTGTAATTGCCTTTTTTACAACTCCTGTTTCAGGGGTGGGTCTTTTATGTTGATGGGCACTATTTTTGCACTGGGCATTGTCTTGCGTTGTCAGTTCTGTGGGAAATAGTAACTTCAGCTTCAAAAATGGTCTGAAACTTTCTAAAATGATTTGCTGATCTCTCTGTCTCTTTTCATACTCTGAAGTACTAAGATTTGAACTATCAGATAAGGTCATGGTGCCTCTGAAAACTCCAGGCTTCTTTGATGTCTCTTGTATCCCTATGTCCAAAATTAGAAGTGACATTTGCAAACCAACTTTTTTTGTAATTATATTAGGATTTGAGTCACTAAAAGAGATTTTGAAGCTTCATTTCTAAGACCTAATTATTTCTGTAAAAGTTAGCCAGTGTGGCTAGCATCTTTTGACTTTCCAAGGCTTTAAGTATTTGAAGTTAAACACACACAATCCACTGATTACTACTTTCAGTTTTGAAGAATGAGTTGCAGAAATGCTGTTTCTGTCCTTGAGTGCTGTTTTTTGCATGAAGTTTGTAATTTTAAACTCCTTTGCAAAACCTGTTAGTAGCTTTAGAGTAATTTAAATTATTTTATATTGCTTTTGGTTGTGCATGCTGGATGTTGTGCACTAGGTGTCAGCATTGGTCCACCTTCAGAACTCTATTTTCCTTGTCACTGGGATGTAGACTTGAAGTAGTTGGTGGCTTCCAGAGTTGCTGCGGCAGTTTCTTCTTGACTGTCTTGATTTCAAAGCAAGATTTTAATTCAAAGTACAGAGGAATGAATGGTTAACTGGGACTTGTGCCGGTATATTGATAAGCTAAAGAAGCACCTGTTGGTAGTAACTCATCAAGTTTGTTTCAACTTTAAGGCAAATGGGGCTTAATCTTTCACTAAATTCTTCCTCACTGGTTGGCAGGCTGCATAAATGGAGTATCATGGAATGAAAATTTTGTGCTTTACAAGATCAGGGACATAAAATTTGAAACAGTAGTTTCTTTGCTTTCCTAGCTTGAGATTTCATAGAATCATGGAATGGTTTGGATTGGAAGGGACCTTAAAGATCCTCTAGTTCCAACCCCCCTGCCATCAGCAGGGACACCTTCCACTAAACCAGGTTGCTCAAAGCCTCATCCAACCTGGCCTTCAACACTTCCAGGGAGGGGGCATCTGCAACTTCCTTGGGCAACCTGTTCCAGTGTCTGACCACCCTCACAGGAAAGAATTTCTTCCTCAGATCTCATCTAATTCTCTCCTCTTCCAGTTTAAACCCATTTTCCCTTGTTTTGTCATTAACTGTCCTTATGAAAAGTCCTTCCCCAGCTTTCTTGTAGCCCCTTCAGGTACTGGGAGGCCGCTATAAGATCTCCCTGGAGCCTTCTCTTTTCCAGGCTGAACAGCCCCAGGAATTTCAGGATTAATAATTAGATTTAATCTTAAAAGGATAAAAATGTTTAATTTGGTAAATCAATAGGTTTTGCAAGTTGTATATTTTTGCATTCTCCTTATGTATATGAATATCATGTTAAATATCATCCATAAAATGTGGATCTGTTTAGATGTTATTGACTGTTTTGACTATTTACTTGTTAGTACTGCTGACAAATAAATTGTCTAAAGAACTCTTTATCTTTGCTGCTTTTGTTGGCTGTTGAACTGGAAGCAAGCTTAAGTTTTCCTGGCAGTAGAAGCTGTCATCACTGGCTATGTGTAAAATCACTAATCTTCTGTAGTGTTGGAGATATCACAGAATCACAGAATATTAAGGATTGGAAGGGACCTCAAAAGATCATCCAGTCCAATCCCCCTGCTGGAGCAGGAACCTAAATGAAATTACACAGGAAGGCGTCCAGGTGGGTCTTGAATGTCTCCAGAGAAGGAGACTCCACAACCTCCCTGGGCAGCCTGTCCCAGTGCTCTGTCACCCTCACTGTAAAGAAGTTTCTTCTCAAGTTTAAGTGGAACCTCCTGTGGTCCAGCTCACACCCATTGCCCCTACGTCTGCTACATTTTTATTTCCTCCTATTATTATTTTTTAACACAGATATGCATTGAAAAATTTTCATTAAAAACAATCCTTTTCTCTTTTCCTTTTAAATTTTCAGCTTTCAGAAGAAGAAAAAATCCAGCGTTACAGCATCCTTTCTGAGCTGTACGAACGCATCGGTTTTCACCGCAAATCTGCCTTTTTCAAGCGGATAGCAGCAATGCAGTGCGCTGCACCCAGCATCCCCGAACCTGGCTGGAGGGCCTGCTACAAATTGCTTTTGGAAACTCTCCCTGGCTATAGTTTATCGTTGGATCCTAAAGATTTCAGCAAAGGTAAGTGGTTTTGGGAAAGTATGGATTAGCGTAGTAAGTCACTCAACTGGCTTTCTAGAGAGATTTCAAATGAAACCCAAATAATTTATCTATCTGAAACTTATTGTGGCAAACAGAGCAGTTCTTTAACACTTATACCTTCACTTTTTCTTAGTGTTACTCTCAAGAATTCCAAATTTCTGTGAGCCACTGCTGAATTTGTTGCTTTATTCCTCTGTTTGTAGCAAATAATTATGTTTTATTTATGAAAGCTTAATTTCTACTCTTTTTCCAGAATATCTTTGTTTTTGATTACACACTCCTCCTTACAAAAAAGGTCATATTTTATTTTTGACTATTTTTTCAATTAAAGTGCCTTCAACTTGTGTATCAGAAATTGTATTTCTTTTGGTATTCGTTGCTGTTGGATCTTATAAAGGAAGAATGAAAGTGTCTCGTCCATATTTTTGTATATAGACATACATACATATAATTTAATTATATCCATCTGTATGATCAAATATGTCACATTTTTCCACAAATTAGGTCAGAGTGATGTTATCTATAAGACTAGCATTTAGTTAAGACACCTCATCAGTTTTTAGATGCTAGATATCATTTGAATTACTATTTTATTGCATGTATTAAAAACCAAAAGAAAAACAGTCTTGTAACTGTTAAATACTGTGTTCACTTTCTGCAAGTTCCATGCTGCTTGCTGCCCTTCTTCAGGTAAACTGTGTTTCAGCAGTTTTATCAACGTTATCTAAAGCTGTATATAATGCAAGAATTTGAAAAGTTGTCTTGATTTTTATATCCTGTGCTGGATTTTAACCAAGGAACAAGTGACAGGACGTGAGGAAATGGCCTCAAGTTGCGCCAAGGGCAGTTGAGATTGGATGTGAGGAAGAATTTCTTTGCTGAAAGGGTTCTGAGGCATTGGAAGGGGTTGCCCAGGGCAGTAGTGGAGTCCCCATCCCTGGAGGGATTGAAGAGTCGTGTAGACACAGTGCTGAGGGACATGGGTTAGTGGGGGACTTGTCAGTGTTGGGTTAATGATTGGACTGGATGAGCTTAAAGGTCTTTTCCAATCGAGGCGATTCTGTGATTTTTCCTCTAAAGGAAGGGACAGCTTCTCTGCTGCTTGAGAACTCCTTTTGAGTAAACCCTTCCATGTTGCCCCAAAATTTGCATTCTTTTGTATAGTAGCATTTTTGGGGACTGTTCACTAAATGTTGTAGCTGCAGGAGAAGGAGAAGGAGTAGGAAGCGATGGGCTGAGCATGTGTTGGTGGAAAGGAGATGGATTTCACCAGTAGAAAAACTCCAAACTGATTTAAATGTGAATGAACAGCAGCCTGAATATTCTTCTCCCTTTTGTGAGCGTACATCGACTGTTGTTGGGATGCCAGTTCGGTGTTGTCTTGTAAGTTCAGTTGTAAGTTTAATTGTTTCTCTATATGCTAGATCGCTCAGCCACTGAAATAATGGAGCTATCTAGTCAATTCAGTCAAGGGAGAATGTGGAAAAACACGTCTCATTAGCCATTAGGTGATATTTTCCAAGCTCTCTTAGCTCCATTGACGAAACAGGCATGTAGACAACCCATTGCATTTATGGATGGTTAGGTTTTTTTAAAAGCTGGTGTGATTTTAGCAGTCACTGAAAGAATTTAACATGTGAGAGGAGGCAGAAAATGCCAAGTGGACTAAACAGAAAGATATACAGAGTCTAGGATGAGGGAATGTGCTGTAAAAAATGTTGTGGCCTGTGATGGGAAAGAAGACTGGGATGGGATTGATTGGGAGAAGAGGTTGTAGAATAAATGATGACTAAAAAAAAAAAAAGTTACATGGTGAGTGTTTACCTTTCATTTTTACCTTAACTTTATGTTGCACTGAAGTGCTTTGTCAGATTTTTACCCCCAAAATGGCTGTTTCAGAGACATATGGGGAGAACTTTAAATTGTATGAACTACTTGATAAGAAGGACATTTTGCACATGAGAAATAACGAGGCTCTTGTGTGCGGAGTATAAACTCTCAAGGTTTGGTTGCAGCAAATATTTCTAGAAGAGTTTCCCAAATGCTGAAGGGAAATATCAGAAAGAAGGCTGTTCAGAAGTTTATGAAGTATTGCACATTTTGGAATATGTTATTTAAAAGTTATTGCTCTTGCTTACTGCTAAAAGCAAGTTAAGTTTCATGAAGGGTACTGCGTATTACGTTTTTGAAAGAAAAGTTACATTATGATGATCTATTTATTGTTACCATGGATACTTTGCAAATATGAAATAATTTATAGTCCGAAACTTAGTTTTTAAAGACTGAAAATCAGGAAATGTGCTTCATGTCCTCTAGCTTTATTGCTTTTTACTGACTTTTAATAGCCTGGAAATCATTGAGAGAAAATATCTTTTTCTTGATCTTTAAAGAGAGTTAAGAAGTTACTTGATTTGGATAAAAATGAAGTTTTTATATGAAATCTCATATGAATGTATTGTTCAGAGGATTTAAAAGATGTAACACTTTAACAGTTTTGTGTATCATTTTGTTTTTACTTCATGGGAAGTGTTAACTTCATTTTCTGAATTTTTAATGAGAAATTTATTAGTTGGTAGACAAGCATATAAAATGAAAATTGCTTTCACATTTAAATATTCAAACAAACTCAAAGATTGTAATTTTCTTTTGTTTTGAGTACAAGATTTTGATGTTGTAATTATTGGTTCCAACGGATGATTTTTCTAAGTGTTATTACATTACTGCTTAATATATAAAGAAAACCAAAACCAATTGGTTTGTGATGATTTCTAACTTTAAAAAGTATTATATGACTGCTTACTTCGTAGGAACTCACAGAGGATGGGCTGCAGTACAGATGCGTTTGCTTCATGAACTAGTCTATGCTTCCAGAAGAATGGGCAATCCTGCTCTCTGCGTCAGGCATCTCTCTTTCCTTCTCCAGACCATGCTGGATTTTCTTTCTGATCAAGGTATGTTTTTTAAAAGAAAGAGATATTTGCACTTTCTTCTGTCCTACAGTCAAATAACGTGACTTTGTTTTGAAATACACTTAATTTGAGAAGTAATGGAGAGCACAGAAGTTAAGGAATTCTCTGTGTGCATGAGGTAGCTTGTTGGTGGTAATCACTCACGTGTGCAGTGTTACTAGTTTTAAATATTAGAGTTCTGTGTAGTAGCTAAAAGAAAACTTCCTGTAATATTTTCCATCGATAGATTGACTGCATAATGCTCTATTTCCTCTGTAAATATAAAGAATATGATCAGAGGGCTTAATTTGCTTGTGGATTAAAAAAATAAGTCTTATTTAAAAATACTAACAGCTTTCATAAGTGCTGTTAATGAAGAGATTGAGAAGAGTTGGAAGTTGAAAAGTAAATTCAGAAAAGAAGAGTCCATGGTAGTTCAGCCTGAATCTGCCATGAGTTTTCTGATGAAACATTCATAGTGTTTAGAACTCATCTAAGGGGATAGGCACAATCCTTCTTTCTGTATTTGAGACAATGAACTTGTAGAAGCTGAGCATGATGGAGTTGAATTAAACAGGGTTTAACTAGGTCAGGAGGCTTAAGTTTCATAGAATCATAGAATGGTTAGGATTGGAAGGGACCTTTAAAGATCATCTAGTTCCAACCCCGCTGCAACTAGACCAGTTTGCTCAAAGCCTCATCCAGCCTGGCCTTAAACACTTCCAGGGAGGGGGCATCTGCAACTTCCTTGGAGAACAACCTGTTCCAGTGTCTGACCATCCTCACAGTGAAGAACTTCTTCCTAATATCTAATCTAAACCTCCCCTCTTTCAGTTTAAACCCATTTCCCCTTGTCTTGTCATTAACTGCCCTTATGAAAAGTCCTTCCCAAGTTTCTGTGGTTTCTTTCAAAATCAGTTTTTTAATTCAGCAATAAATTTTATTGGGGTTTATTAAATTTGTCAGTGGGTAACAACAGAATGAATATGTCTGTGGATGATTTTCAGAAATGGTAATGATGTGCATGAGGAGCCTTTTGCAGGGAAGGGCCATGCAGCATTTACAAAATCATCTGGAAATGAGAAAAGTGACAAATGTTACATTTGTATCATGTTTCTTAGGAAAAATATTTCAAACAGGTTTGTTTATTACCCAGATTAATGAGATTGAACTAGTGATGATATGATAAAGAGGATGGGAGTAAAATGGTGTAGTTTGTTTTTGCTTTTCTCCTTTGGTTAAGGGCAACATCTCTCCTTGGTGATTCCTGCAGCAAAGAACTTTGCTGGCGGGCTTTAGGTCTTTGCCTGCCAATAATTTCCCTCTGTTTAGTGGCTCAAATCAGTAGTGGAGGAAGGAGAGGAACTGATAAACTGGAATAAATTATCTTTCTATCTGTAGATTTTATGTGCTGACAAAAGATCCTTGGATTTTTCCAGTGAAGTTTCGTTGATTTATGTATGGAAATTTTGGCTGGAGACAGGGCTTTAAAGCTCTTCAGCTATACATGTCCACATGTGATATTGGTAATCCCTAATCCTAAAAAAGTTTGAAATCTTAAAGAGAAGCAACTTCTGTGTTTCTTGTTTTCAGGTATTATGTCTGAGTAAAGCTTGCAGTTCCATGAGACCTATGATAACTGATGTTTAGTGTCTTTGGAAAAATCAAACTAAATGTTCTCCTGTGTGTTTGAGAAGTAGCTGAATCTCTATCTCCTTCACCCAAAATAGAACTTGCTGTTGTGTTGAAGTCTTTTATTGATAGCGTGTTTCTCAGACACAGGTACTGATGTTCCAGACTAGCCAGAGTATGGATGACAGTGCCAGAAATGTATTTCTGGCTTGTTTTTTTTGTAATTCTTCCAAGATTGGTATCGTGTGGTGTTGTGCAAGGGTCCATTTAGCATAGAAAATTACTTTAAATTTATAACTTTTTTTATAATATCAGAGTATTAAGAAAAAATAAACCAACAAAAAACCCCTTCAGTGTTGGATTGTAATAAAGGACAAAAGCATTATGATTTGAATGCATAGGATTATGCTACTTACTATTTGAAGTCTGTGAACTGTTTCCTTTATATTATGAACTTTTAAAAAGTGTTGTAATTAGTTGTCTTCTCTGATAATCACATGACTGAAACTTCCAGGTTTTTTTGACCAATTCAATGTTTAATTAGGAAATGGAATTAAAACAGTAGCATTGGAGTTCAAGAATGCTGAGATTTTCTTATTTTTCTCTGCTGCATGAAAAGTTGCCAAGTTACCACTTACTAGGTGGAGAACTCACTCTTTTTAAAACTTAAGTTTTTACCTGAATGTGTTTTTTCTTAAATCAATTAAACTTCATATTTTTATAATATATGTATTAAATCCTACTCTTGTATTTAAAATTCAGCTAGTTTGCAAATCATCTTTAAAAGTATAACAAATAGAAGTGAAAACTCTAAGGTGAAAGAAAGTTACCAGCTAAACATTTGACACTGAAACTTGATCTTCTGGCCCTTTTTATCTCAGGATTAGCTGACTCTACACACAGAAAATAAATATTCTCTTGTTCCAGTTCGTTAATCTAATTCTCTTCATTTACTAGTTCAGTTGAAGTTGAGATACTGGGACTTCAGAAAACAGAAAAAATGGATTTCTTCTTCACTTCAAGTAGAAGTTCAGAAGATGAGATTTAGTAGTTATAATGAAAAATCTATTAATTAGAAGCTCTTGCTTCTATTCGTGGAACTCAAATGCATAGTCAGAACTGGTTTGTGTTGAAAACAAAATTTTCTTATTTTAATTGAATGACACTTGATAATTATTTGAAAATAGAACTTTTGTATATGTTTACTTGAATTACAATTTCTAGCCAGGCAGCCTGGCAAATCTGAATAAAAACTATCATCAAGTAAATAGGAGGTGTCAGTCACAACATGGAAGCTAAGAGTCTGATTTAAAATTAAGCTATTTAGGTACATAAATATGTAAAATGCAGTCTTCTGCTTAGCAAAAAAAGGTACCAAATTCTGCATAGAAGCTCTCTAATCTCAAGCCATTATGTTTTAGTGTTAACAAGCCCTTGAGAATCACTCTTTCTTTAAATAAGAATTAAAATGTGCAATTGCAAAGTTACTTGGAATTAAATCATAGAATCA